CTACTTGAACTTCACCACAAGGGAAAACAATAATTCGAAAAGGAAAAACAATTGCCAATGTCGTTTATAAAAAGAACGAATAAGAGATAGAGAATAAGAGAGAACAAAACGCTCCCCTGTGGAACACCAAAAGAGGCAACGAAGTAGTCCGCGACTACGCCATCAATCGAAACAACACAGCGCCGATTGGACAAGTAAGAGGTGATCCATTTGGGAAGAGACGAATGGAAGCCTAGGCAAGCTAACTTATTTAACAGAATCTTGTGAGATACTCTATCGAACGCCTTAAAAAAGTCAGTATATATGCAGTCAACTTGCGAACCGTCAGAAAACGATGAGATGCAAAAATCACTGAATACCATTAAATTGGAAACTGTCGAGCACCCGGATACAAATCCATGCTGCCTTGGGCTGATTCATGACTTTATCGCGAAATAAATTTTGTGTTGGACGACACTTTCAAAAAGTTTGGAAAAGATTTATAGTTTCGAAATTGGCCTTTAATTCCATAAATTATTTTTACTACCATTTTTGAAAAGAGGCGTAATTGTTGTTATCTTCCAATTATTAATAAAGTTACCCGAGGAAAGTGATTTATTAAAAATTAATTGTAAAGGGTACGACAACGCTGGGTGCCCCTTTAGTAAAAGACCCGACAGACCGTCAGCGTCTGAATGCGAAGAAGACTTGAGGGAAAGTATCGCCTTCATAACTTCGTCAGAAGAGTATTGCAAGGTCCCCAGATTAACCGAAGAAAATCGGGTTAGCTTTAATATTCTGCTTTGCATTCCGAACATATCTTTTGTAAAGCAGGTTATTTGATGACTTAAATTCCTTGTGGTAGTGCTGAAATTTTACAAAGAATGATTGAATGTTAGTTGACCTGAACTTTTTGAGATGTTTGTTTTTAATGTTTTTCAATTTCATTAAATCTCTATTTTGCCACGGTGATTTGTATGGTCGCTTCTTTTTCACAGGTATGTTATTCGATTTAAAGGTTGTATAGCAAATGTGAGTATCCAAGTCCATAAGTAACTAGCATCAGAAATCGGCGAAATGCATTTTGATATACAAGAATCAATGTTGTCACTTATATATATAAGGTCTGACAATCTATTTAAATCAATAAAAAAACAGTTAATGTGTTTTAGATTTACACTTACGAAACTATCTATAAAATAAGATTCTAGATTTGTGGCAATGTTATTAGGTATAAGACTAGAGCTGGTAGAGTTACTGCACCATTTTATATTACAAAGGTTAAACTCACTCAGAACACAAATATGGTTGTCATTTAGGTCCAGAGATGTCGCAATTACATTATCCACGTGAGTTTTGTATAGTTCAAAGTTACTGTTAGGCGGAATATAGGAGGCCATTAAATACAGAAAACTATGTGATTTCATTCCTTTAATGCAAACGCAAACTTGATCTAGCAAAGAGTCACTATTACTAAGAATAAAAAAAGTTGCACGAAGTTTTCGTTTAACGTCAATCAGCACACCGCCTCCTCTTGAACAGCCCGTTTTCCCGGAATCCACATCATACAAGTTTGGATCGAAGAATTCACTATCGTAGAAATCAGACTTCAGCCAGGTCTCGACCAAAGCTTACTCACACCACATGTGAAGTTGCAAGTCTTCAGATGCTCTTCCGGGATCGGCATGACTAAGGTTGTTACGCTCAGCCACTTCAGCATGGAAGTTTGGAGAGGGTCCGTTATGCATCCTGGTGGTACGAAGCGAGCTGCAGCAGCAGTGACAACCCTGCGGAACTTACGTTCACCTAGGTGAACGCCGGTTTGTGTGGGGAGCGCAGCGAAGGTGCTTTCAGTAAATTCCGCGAAGCTTTTCCAATCCGCTTTGGTAAAGTTGATATAGGCCGGTGTTCCGCGGAAGAAAAGTCCGCAGGTTTATCCGTCGAGATGACTATGGGCAGATGGTCTGATGCCAAGGTCAGCATAGGTCACCATGATACGCTGTTTATCAGACCAGACCAGCAGCCCATAATCCTGGTGGGTGCGTCGTCGTTCATTGCGCAGAATGTAGAATCGTCTATCTGCTCAGCCAAGTGTGTTCCCCTACGATCGTTTGACAGGATTGGATGCCAAAGATCGTGGTGCGCATTAAAGTCACCAACTACCATACTGTTTTCACCTCTGTGGAGCGCACCTATTTCAGGGTGATATCCTGCCGGGCACCTGTAACAGGGGGTATATAAACGTTAAATATTTCGAGCTCGACATCGCTTTACCGGATAGCAATGCACTGACATTCTAGGATGGTATCCCTGCGGTCGATGTCTGCTTCAATAAGACGATACTGCACGGTGTGGTGCGTGATGAATGCTAAAAGCTTAAACAGACGGCAGCGTCGGACTTAATCCGGATCAACTGCCGTTTATTCCCGAGTTGATCCGGATCAACGCTGGCGTCTGTTTATGCTTTAAGCTACCACCATTATTCTGCTCGCGATCTCGACGGTGCACATTGTATCCGGCGCAATTCAACAATGTTGAATTGCTGTGCAACTTCTTCTTTTGGACCGCAGCTATCAATATTCCATGCCTTCCCATGAAGACGGTTATCTCCTCGATCTTGCTCTGAAGTCCGTTACAGTTGAATTGAAGGAGCTTCGTGTGGTTCGGGAGAGGTGTTATGTGGGGGTGAGGGATGTGTGTTGCCTTATCGCCTTGGGCTGTGTGCGCTGTTGTGGAGGATGCCGCCCTGTGGTGGTGGGTGGCGTCGCACATAGCTGGGCGATAAAGATTACGATTACTAAACGATTAGGATTGCAGTAATCCCTACAAGATAAAAAAACAAGATTACGATTACAGTAATCCTTCATCGAACGAACTCAGGTAACGATTACAGTAATCGTAATTTTAAAAAAGTTAAAATTACGATTACTGTAATCGTAATCCAAGTTCGTTCGAGGAACGATTACTTTAATTGTAATCCTGTACTTTCTGTTATAAGGATTTAGATAAATACAAAGTACCCTCATATTATCCTTAAGCGCGCATTTATATTCCGCATATTTATAGAATTACTTCGTTTAACATTGCCCAAAAAAATCGAATTAGAAAATTTGTAAAATTAAAGTTATTGTAATCATTCATCGAACGAACTTAGATTACGATTACAGTAATTGTAATTTTAAAAAAGTCTAAATTACGATTACTGCAATCGTAATCTAAGATGCCTTCGATGAACGATTACCGAAATTCTAATTTAATAATTTTTGAAATTGCGGTTAAAATAATCTATTACCCATGTAATCCTTATCGCCCAGCTCTGGGTAGGATGAGTGCCTTAATTGGGTCTAAAGGCTTGTGAAAGATGACAGGCGAAAGCGTTTGCTTTATCCTTATCATTCCTCGCCCAGCTTCCGTTCTGAGTACGTAATGGTGCTTCTCAAAGAACGGGCCTCTTCGCATGCTTCAGTTTTCGCCAAAGGGACAGTCAGCCTGTTTCGAGGCACACAAGGACTGGAGGATCGACTGCATACTTCTTTTTTTTCCGTCTGCAACAAAATACGTAATTCCTTTGTACACGCATTCAGCTCCTGTTTAAGCTTTGGAGAGCGAATTATTTGCCATTCCCTTCTTAATTTGCTCTTTTTACTTATTAAGTTAAGAATGTTTAGGGTGTGCACGCCAGGGTAGTAAGAACTGCGATGTTTCATAGAAGGATTTGGTGTTGCATTTTCTGCGGCCTTAACTATTATATCAGTGAGATCTTCAGCTGCCTTGTCGATATAATTCTAATAAGAATTTGCGGGTCAATGTTCGGACCTGACATACTTTTTCAGCGCAAGTCTTAATACTCCCGGAGAGTTTGTTCTCCGGGAATCTGTTTCTCCCGAGAAAGAAATCCTCCACTAATTATTTCCGGGCGAGTAACATTTTCCCGAAAATTTGAAAAAAGTAAATTTGAATTTCGAAAAAGCTGTTAGGCACTTTTTTGACACCTCAACTCCGCCCTTTAATATAAAAAATCGTCAGGGAATTTTTATTCATAATAGGAGGAAAGGGAAAAAAGATAAAACTCCCAGGGAGTTTTTGTTCAGAATCGGTCTGTTTGTATTTTAACCAGTTTGTGTGCTTATTTGTAAGATTTTTTTTTTGGTTTTCTTCATAATTAAGAAACATTGATAATGTTATGAGGCAGGGAGAATGATCTGAAGAGAGATCACATAATGCTTCTGTATTAACTTGGTGTCATCAAACTAGACCCTGCTACAATAAACTTACTGCCAAACTTTAGGAAAAAGTCATCAAATTGTTTTTCTGTTATGTTATGACGAAGGGGGGGGGGGGCNTAGCAGATACGGTAAGGCCACCCAAGTGGTCATCAATGTGTATTGCAGTATTATGAATGAACTCATCACTTTGCGATTCTAATTCATTGAGATATAAACTGGACAATCTCTATAATTAGCAGTGTGATTTCCACCGCAGTTACTGCACTTTTTGGATTGCGAGTCCATTTTTGGTTTCCCACGTTCTTTAGAAGTGTGTAAATCCTCACATAACACAGACACCAGGTAAGGTGCAGTACCAACGTGTGTGACCAAATTCACTTCCCCTTTCTTCAGGTTATGAAAGTCGGGTTCTAGCTCTATTTTGAACATCGGTTGAGTGATGTTTTCTTTATTTTTGATGTTGAAAGCATTGCGCACCTTAAAACCTTCTTCCCTAAGAGCATTTTCTATCTCTTGTGAGTTAACGCTGGACTCGATGCCTTTTATGACAACTTCTAGTCCTCGACTACTTTTAAGTTGGTAGGTGTAGTAAGATTTCTTACACTTATTAAACTGATTGGTAAATTTACGAATGATATCTTCGTTTTGAGCCTGAATTTTCACTTCGTGTATATTACCCTTTTTAGTAGGAACTACATGAAAATTATTTTTCCCTACTAGTTTCAGTAGTGGATCTACCAGAGCATTAGAACTTTGTTCTGGTAGATAAATAGGTGGAGGCTTGTATTTTTTAACTACCTGTTGGTTAGAATCATTACTCATATCAGCGAGAATACTAAAACGATTATTCTCCGCCGATGTAGATGTACCTGAAGTGACTACTTTCAAAATTTTATTTTTTGGATTTGTTTTCCATTTTTTCGGGTGTGCGCTTTCGCTTTATTAATATGTAGCGATCAAACCCACTCTAAATAGTACCATTTTTTGCTTTATTTGCTTCTTTGTTTGTTGCCCTCGGAGTATTAAGGCGGATTCACCGTTCGTGTCCGGACACTTTTTGTTAGTAATTTTACGCGTTCTTTCCCACCTTGTCTCACTGAGAGCGCGACAAAAATGTGCTGAACACTCTTTGCTCGAATCAAATTGATCGTAATTTTCTGTTCGAACGACTTGATGATTCGGGTTGCCGCATTCTCCTTTATATGTGTTTGCAGCGAATTGCATGTGTTATTTGCCCTCAAAATCGTATGTAGGCAACAATATCATAAGCTGTATGCTTCAGAACAAAATAAAATGCATAGTTGCCAACTTGGTACTTTAAGCATTAGATTTAGTGCTTTTTGAAAATTAAAACGCCAAAAATAATGCTTTAGTGCCTAGTGTTTTTTTCTAAACTCAAATTTCTCATAGATAATTAAAACATAAAATTATTTGAAATTTTTAAAGCTGTGGCGGCACTTAATTTACAAGAATATACAAATTTAAATGTACTAAAATAAAGTTGCAAACCCACGTTTTAGTTAAATTGTATTCGCGTTGAAAATGCTAGTACGCATGTAAATTATTTATTTCTTTTCTAGTTATTTGTACATATTTTGATTGATTGCACAGTTCGACAAATTTTGACTTTTACCACCTGAGTAAAACGCTGAATTGCTGTAGCACGTGAGATATCCTAACCTCAAACAAATTTTTTTTTTCTACTTAGGGCATCAGTTAGTATTACTCTTCCCCTTTAAAATTCATTTTAGTTTGTTGCGATGCAATTTTTCTTTCTCGAGATATGTATACCAGTTTTAATGTGCAGTACTTCGGTATTACTTCGTAAAGTTAAATACAAACTGTTCTGAAAAAATTATAATTTGATAAAAAAAATTTAGTGCTTTTAGTGTGATAAAATCCTTTTTCTTCCAAGTTTTGGTGCTTTTTGAAACTCAGAAGTTGGCAACACTGATAAATGTGCCGAACTGAACGGTGAACCGTACTTCAGCAGCCTCTCCGGCAAAAATGTTTTGAGAGCAAATAAAAAGTTGTCCGGACACGAACGGTGACCCGCCTTTAGTAGCGGCTGCTACGTTGTTGTCCGCATTGATCACTGCTGGTAGGGTTCGAACAATACTATCGATATTGAGTAAGCATCGATACTGAGGGTATACAAATTAGTACTTTAATACTCGATACCGAATACTTAAAAAAACACACTTATTAAATTTTTCTTCCATTGGCAACCCAATTTTCTTTGCTTATATGGATTACTATCATTAAATTTTGTCCATCACTTAAGATAAACTGAAATTTCGTGTAGTCTGTTGCATAACATAAACCAAATAAGTTAAAGTTTAATAGCTTTATTCATAAAAAATAAAGTAGATTTAAAGATCTTAATAAAATGACATTTTCATACATTTTTCAGTTTATAAAACCTTTTTATTTTTTATGAATAAGGCCATAAAACTTTACGCAAAGTTCACGAAAATGCAGAATTTTTAGAAACTTTTTGGGTAAAAGAAAGTTTTGTAAGTTCTGCAATGAAACAAAAACAAATATTTAAAATTTTTTTTGTTTTAATTTCAGGAAATAAATAGATAAACGATTGAAGAATAAAATAATTTTAGTATCCCAAAAATCGTATTTTAATGAGGCCGATACTGAGTAGTATCGATACTTTTTCCCTGATACTTTTAGAGTATCGATACCATGAGCCCGATGCCAGAATGAGTACTCAGTATCGATACAAAAGTCTCAAATTTCGAATCCTAACTGCTGGAGAGCAAGATGGTGCTCTTTGCTTGGCTGCATCGGGTTTTTGTGATGGTGTGTTGCAGTATAAGAGTTTTCTTTAGCGTTGTTGTTGTTGGTTTTAGTTTTTGGGCTGCATGCAGTAATTGTCAAATATGCATTTCTTTTGTTTGTACGCTTTTGTAGGGGAGCGCCCTGGACACTCATCTCTCACTTAACTACCATTCTTATTTTGTATGTATTATTTATTTAGGTATTTTTCACGATCACGCTTTGATTTTTTATACTGTTGAGGGCAGTTCGCGACGACACAAAACTCGAATAATAGTTTAGTGTGTCTTTCGATGGTTAAATATTTTTAGTTACACGATAAATATGATTTTTTTTATGGAGCGAATAAAGAACACGTCCGTACTCAACCGCAACGTTATGAATTCCAATGTGGCTATGTAAATGTAAACCACATTTTTAGCTGCATTTTAACATGTCACGAAAATAACATCAGTGTTTTTATAAAAAACGACCAGCGCGACCTGTAAAAAAAAACTTAAAAAAAAAAAATAAAAATATTTAGATGTGGCGTTTATGAATTTCCACAAAGAGTGTTTTCTTGAACCACTCTTAACCACCACCCATAGTAGCGGATACAGAACTCCCCCTTGGGGAGTGCCTGTTACTGAGCATTTGTTCGATCCACTCGCATATGTCGTCAGATATTCCCACCAGGCGTTCGAACAATTGCTTCGATTGTAATGTTATTGAAGGCCCCCTCTATGTCGAGGAAGGCCGCCAAAGTGTACTGCTTGTAATGGAGTGATTTTTCTATGGGGTTTTTCTATGGTGGCAGTTTCAGTTGACCTGCCCTTAATGTATGCATGTTGAGCTTTGGAAAGCTTGGAATTCTCCAGAAAATGCCTTATTTGTAGTCTTTCCAATACCTTCAGCAGGAAAGATGTAAGACTTATTGGTCGGAAGTCTTTTGCTTTTTCGTGATTTCTTCTTCCAGGTTTGGGAATGAAGACAACTTTGACTCTTTTCCAGCTTTTCGGAATGTATGCCAAGCTTATACTGGCTTTGTAGACCCTTTCTAGCCACGATACCAGAGGTTCCTGTAATTTCTGGAGCATTATCGGTATGATACCGTCTGAGCCAGAGGATTTGTATGGGGAGAATTTATTTATAGCGAATCAAATTTTTTCTTTGTCTACGATTGAGTCGAGTATCTCTTTTGAGAGTTGCTGACAAGTTGTATGAGGCCATGTTTTTGGCCTCAATTCTGCCTTAATTCGTGTTTGTATGGCTCCACATTCATCTTTATTTTACATTCATATTTGTATGGCATTCACATTTTTGTTCTGTAGCACTCATTAAAAATTTTTCTAAGACTCGACCTGTGCTCCCTAAGCTCCCCCTTCCACCATGGAGGGGATTTTTTCCGTAAGAACGCTTACTGGTGTGGATTTTATAAAGGCTATGGCTAGAGTTTTTTCAGCTAATCTACTATGTTGTCTAGTTCTACAGCAGTTGTAATCTCATTTGATTTATTGCTATCTAGGTTACCTGACGTTAGCCTGATGAATTTAGGCCATATAGTTATTTTCGAATTCCGAAAGAAAGCGGTATTATATTTCGTTATTTTGTTTTTTTCCATTACTTAAAATTAAGTTTGTTTATTTTTTTTGTGTATTTTTTTGGATTTACATGCTTTAAAAAAATTATGTTAAAAGAAACTAAACTAACATTTACTTTTTTGCAAGTGTAATTTTCAAAATAATTTTTTTTAAATCGTAAAGCGCTTTTAAATTTGACAGTACTGCAATAAATTATGTTCCTTCCTTATTAAGAATCCGAGTTCAAAACCGAAAGCACGTCGCGCATTTTTAAATAAATTGGTTTTAAAAATTTCACTTTGATTTTAATTAAACACAAAAACATATATTTCTGGTTAAGTTTGATTCTGTTTCATTTCGAACTTGAACTGTTTATTATTTTAAGGTTGCTCAATGGGTAAAAAGCGGAATTAGTTCCGTCAAGGACTTTAAAATCTTTAGTGAGAAGCGGATTTAGTTCGAACAAGGATTTAAAAACTTAAGATATATCTTCAGTAGGAAAACGCGCTGACAATTTAAAAGACGTTTTTAATAGATTGTTAGTTTCATCAGATCATCTGATTACTTGCTCGCACTTGTTGCTAGTGGTCACAAACCGGTGATCTTTCTTTGCTGAAGCAATGGAGTTACTTAGTGGAACTAGAATCGAATAATATTAGTTTAACGAGGCGTGGATGGGATTTAGATTCCGACTGTGATGAATAAGTGTCACAGTTTTCATTATATAGTGCCTATTATAACTATAATACACCCATATATTGACAAGTTTTGACAATTTTTTTATTATTATTTAATTTAATTTTTTTTCATAAAAATATAGTTTATACCTTAACAAAAACCGAATAAATCTAAGATTAAAACTTCGTAAAAATACCGATGCTTTTAATTAGATATCTAAAAAAAAAAGAGTTCGTATTTTTGTAGCCCATTAAAGTGTTAATTAGAAGTAGCTAGGACATACCGCTAATTTTTGTCAATTTTTTGATGAAGGTGTCGGTCATTTTCTCCATGTAAAAAATCGTCGTACATACTACGTATGGAAAAACGTAAGTCCTAGCTGCTTCGAGTTTGCACTTTAATGTACTACAATTAAATGGGTTACAAAACTGCATACTTCAAATCCTTTTAATAGCGCTTATCATAACTATATGACACCCACATATTAAAAAGTTTTGATTATTTACTTTATTTTCATTTCATTTTTATTCATTTTTTTTTATAAAAATAAAGCAGATTTTTTATGTTAATTAATGTTTTTAATTAGATACATTACTTGCTTTTCGATATTATGCTTAATTTGTAAATATCTTTAAACTTAAAACATATGTTCATAAAAAATATGTTCATAGTCGAATCAAAGTTAAAACTAACAAGTAAGAAAGTCTAATTTCGGGTGGAGCGGAACATTAAATACCCGGCGCAAGTATTAAATATATGTTTTTTCACCTTTCCGAAGGCCACCGCTACATGGTAAGCCGGGGTGTATCAATTTTGAGTAAATTAGCATCCTTAAATTTCTAAAAATCGAAGTTTCAAGCATTTCTGAAATTTACCGTTATTTGAAAAGTGGCCGTAATTTTAGTCCGATTTCAATAATTTTCAACTTTTTGCTTTTATGTGGCAAGCACAGTAACCATACCGAGTTTTGTACAAATTGGTATAACGGTTACCGAGATACATATATGTGATCATAAGTGGGCGGTGCCACGCCCATTTTCCAACATTTTATCATAAACTTATTTCCTGGTAAAGAATTGTTGCAACCATCAATTTTGAATAGATTAGCTTTAATATTTACTGATTTATCGAAGATTTTGTATTTCTCTAAATTACCGTTATATGGGATGTGGGCGTGGTTATTGTTCGATTTAAAAACTTTTCAGCCATTTGGTACATTATACTAAGGCCAATAACTGTGCCAAGTTGGGAAGAAATTGGTGCAGCGGTTACCAAGATATACACATGTAACCATAAGTGGGCGTGGCTACGCCCATTTTTCAAAAATTTATAACATTCTTATTTTTCGTCTGAAAATTATTGTAAATATCAATTTTGAGGGAATAATCTTCAGTAGTTACTAAAATATCACAGTTTTCTTATTTCTGGAAATTACCGTTATATGGAAAGTGGGCGTAGTTGCAGTCCGATTTCGCCCATTTTCAATACCAACCTACCTTGGATAAATGGAAACCTACATACCAAATTTCGTTGTGCATAAGTGCGCTCGGGTATAAAAATAATTTCGACTGTTTTGACAAATTTGTCTTAAAAAGTGTTGTCAGAGAGCTGAAATTATTTTTACCTCCAACTTTGTTTTGACCATGCACATATCCCATTATGTTTTACATTGAAACTTAAATCTTTGTACCTATTTCCTATCTTTTACTATCTACATAGAGATCAGATGTAAATGACTTCCCTGTTTCATGCTCTTTCCTAGTGATTACAACAAATACACGTATTGTTACTGTTATTAAATTTTACCGCTTTTAACTTAGTTCTAAGTATTGCGAATACCTTGATAAAGCTATCCTCAAACAAAATTACTTGTTGTTCCTGATTATATTGTAACCTAAACGTACCTATTTTGAATAAAATTGGCTGGGGAAAGACTCATCAATACCGTAAGTCTAAAGTCGTAAAGGGGGTTATTCATAATTTGTATAATAATAAAATCAAATTATCTTAACATAAGACATTACAAAAAACTGGGTCACCAATGGGTTAATGCATGATCAATAATGGGTTAAGACGTACAAATTTACTCTTAGAAATCCAAAGAAGTCCATAGAAGCCTGGTCCGCGCATCTGATAACCCTGTATCCTCGACATCTGACACCATTTGTAGGATGGCTCTTAAAATTTAAAGTAATTTTTAATGTTTAAGCATAATAATTAACTTTAAAGCTCAGTTAGTCTAGACTGCACTTAATTTAACTTACCGTAAGAAATCATCAAAGGTTACTCAACACGTCAACTTAAGCCAGAAGCGGGGATATTTTGTTTTTGAACGAAAACGAAAATCTGGCAAGCCTAATTCTCTCACTGCTCTCAATTTCCGTAAGGCCCTAACTTAAGAATCTAAAACCTACAGGTTCTTACGTTTCTTACGGTAAGTTAAGTTTTAACTAACCGCCAACACAGTTTCTCATATAACAGGTTGGCCAAAAGATTGAGTTAAGTTAAGTTACGGAAATTAAGTCTAGACTATCTGAGCTTTTATTCACATTAACCCTTTACATTTTGACTTATTAATAATAATAATAATAATAATATACTACTACGACAATTTAATAGGGTTGAAGCTCGCCACGTGGTCCGTCCGACACGCTTGATCATAAATAGGTACGCGAATGCCTGTAGCTGCAGGCTGCAGAAGATTTTGATACGATACGATTCGCGAGTTTGAGTATAAAACTTATAAAAGTAATAATAGCGTAGCTAAAATTCCTAATCTTAATTCTGATTAGAAAAAACTAGCTCTTAAGTAAACTTGTAACTCTATCAAAACGTTAGTGGTATGAATCATGCGTGATCGTGAATGAGCGTAAGACATTTTTACAAATTCACGCGTGGCCGTGAGTGACGTGAGTCAAGGTCAAATCACACAATAACGCATGGTAGTAAATAAATTTTAATCAAGCAGTAGCAATTTACACTCATATACTGTGTTGCCAGAACTTTTTGGTCCGACCGGCTAAATTGAAAAAAAAAAAAACGGTTAAAATGTTTCAACTCAAATTAACATGTTTTATTTAAATAAATCACAAGTACAAAGACTAGTCAATTCTTTAAATTATTTTTGGTTAACAGAGTTTATACGTAGCTAATCTTTACATCACTCGTTAAATAAATCACAAAAACACACACTGATAAATTCATTACAAATTATTTTTGTTTAACAAAGGAAGCAGTCGTTTTACCTAGCTAAGCTTTACATCAGAAGTTATTTTTGCATTACTTAAATCAGGGGTGCATACGGGAGTCTCCGGTAGCTACTCGGCTTTCACATACAAGTCGTGTGTGCGCAGATAGCGAACTGTTGCGAGTTTGCGTTTGCTAGTGTATGTATACTAAGACAAAAATGTTGCGCTGGTATTGGTAGCTCTGTCGACGCTGTGCAACATTGACTTAAATATAAAAAAAAGAGATAAATTACAAACTTTTGGCGTTTTCTTTTCTATTAAATAATTTTGCCTTTTTCTATTGTAACATTTGCACTGGGTTACTTTTTGTCCTGTAAAATGGCTATATTAGTAGAAAGTATTCAACTTTTGCTTAGTCGGAGAGCAATATTTTGAGAAATAAACACGCAAAGCTGTAAAGTGCTCAAAAAAAACAGGGCAACATTATTTCGAGAAAAAACGCCATTAAGTTTTTCACAATTTCTTTTTAAGTTTTTCACAATTTCTCTTTAAGTTTTTAAGTTTTTCACAATAAAACTATTAAATTTTATTTTGATATCCATATATTCGAAACATTCCAGTTTTTTGAAGACCTGCTTACATGACTGTCAGAGAGCAACAATAAAGTATGTTGGCACCATGACCCAATTATTCACAGGTATTATCTTCCCAGAGAGTTTTGCTTCCCATCGAAATTCGTACTCTTTTATTCTAATTCGTTATTTTCTAAATAATGCGAGTAAAACTGCACACTTAAATCTAAGACATTCATAACAAGCGGTTGCGAAATTTGGCAAGTTGTGGCTATTTTTTACAACGCTTTTATCAACTTGCAATGTTGTGTTCCAGAAACTTTCAATGTTGTGGATCCAGAAACTTTCAATGTTGTGTTCCGACACCAAAGCAAAGCTTTGAAAAGCTCCTATAAAAAAGCATAGTGAATAGGGCGAGGTAGATGACATCTAGATGTCGCCCTTGTAATACGTTTGCTACACCGGAAATAGACGAGACGCCATTCTTTAAATAAAATTAATTGGTGCTCGTTTGTATGTACATACATATGTAAATGCATGTGTGTGCACCTTTCTATTAATATCGTTGAATTATTTTAATATCTATTGCAAAATTTTATTCAGACAGGACTAAAAAGTAGAAAATAAATAATATAAAAAAAACTTTTTAATATACAACGCTTTTATAAATGGACTAAAAAGTAGAAAATAATACTTCTCAGTCCCATAGAATTTGTTTTGATAACTTTTGATTTTGAAATTTTAGCAAAAGTCATTATAAACAATTTATGAAATTGAAAATGAAAAGCGTGGGGCGCATGTAATACACTTGAATTGATATGAAAAGTAATATATGTATGTATGTATGTGGGTATATGAATAACGACCGCTTAAAATCGATTTCAAAGTTCTACTTTCGCTGTAGAAATTTTAGGTCTACGTTATGTAGTTTGACTATTGTCAACTAAATCGAATGCTTTGTAAGTGAAGTGACTTGTGGACCACTTGAGGTATAGGTGGACCAGTTGGTAACCACTTTGGGACCAGTTGGTAACTAGTTCGTGGGACCAGTTGGTAAGCTGTCGGGGCCCCGTCCGGGAACCAGTTTGGGACTAGTCCGAAACTACTTACCTTCGGACCAGTTGTGGACCACTTGGTCTTTTTAAGCTCATGTGGCCGTTTTAAGGGGAATTCTTGGGCTCCTGCACTGCCGCTCGGGGTTTCTGCCTTCTACGGTGGTAATTTTGGGCCGGGTTGCCTGTTTTGGCGGATTGTTGTGCTGTGTGCCACGTATTACGTGTACCGGGTACCACTTTCTCGAGCGAATTGCTCTGGGGAACCTGTTGTGTGAGTTGCTGGCTTTTTGGCTAGACTTTGAGGAGGGTTTATACACGCATATCGGCGGAAATAGACGACACGCCATTTCTTTAAATAAATTTAATTGGTGCTCGTTTGTATGTACATACATATGTAAATGCATGTGTGTGCACCTTTCTATTAATATCGTTGAATTATTTTAAAATTTCAAAAATTCTAAAATTTCTAAAATTTCAAAATCAAAAGTTATCAAAACAAATTCTATGGGACTGAGAAGTATTATTTTCTACTTTTTAGTCCATTTATAAAAGCGTTGTATATTAAAAAGTTTTTTTTTATATTATTTATCTTTAGTTTATTTATTGTTTATTATTTTTTATTAAAATATAGCTGTTTACTTAAAAACACCATATAATTTCTAATCTCTTGTGAAAAAATTATGAAATTTCTGCAAAATTTCAACAAAATTTTTAATTTTTTCGTCAGCATCTTTGAAAAAAATATGGTTTCATACATATGTGGCCTATTCCATTTTTAACCGACTTCCAAAAAAGGAGGAGGTTATCAGTTTCGTCGGAATATTTTTATTTTTTTTTTATGTATGTTACCGCATAACTTTGGACCACGTCAACCGATTTCGATAATTCTTGCAACGGAAAGGTAGTGTCTCAGAGGTGGTCCCATACTAATTTGGTTTAGATCCGATCTTTGAATCATGAAATATATAGATATATATAAATTTTTTTAAGTCGGTTTTTTTTTTGCTAAAAATTACTTGTAGTTTAGTATGGTGCAAACTTGAGCTAGTTGGGACCTACCGTTGATTCATGACGGTGTTACGCATTTTTTCCATACACGGTATGTTCGAGAAGTTTTTTATATGGAACAAATGCAACAAAAAATTGCAAAATTCAAGCGTATGTTCTAGGTACTTTATTTAACTTTGCACTTTATTATACTAAAATGTTTAATATAGGGTTGTTTAAGGAGCTTTTAGGCCGGTTTAATAAAAAGCCAACAATGGTTCTTTTTCCTCCTACGCGTTTCGATGTTTTTCACATCTTCCTCAGGGAGTCTGGTGTTTATTGAAAACAAAACATAAAAAACAAAAAATTAGGCACACATGTATGTAAATAAAAATTATAAGAAGTACAATTCGTTGGTATAATAATTTTTATCTGCAAAACATAACTTACATTGAACATTAAAAAAAAGAAAAAATCATAAAAAACACACACTTATATAAACTTATTTATATTTAAGTGTACTTCCGCTCGTCTGTTCTCCTATTGAACATTATTGCTGTCCTGTATGCGCAATTTATATTGTCGACATCTTCCTTAAAATTCATTGCATTCTGGATTTTTTGTTGTATTCACAAACTTTCTAATATTAGTCGCGTCTATCTCTGTTCTCCACATCTAATATTTTCGCGTTTTCAAAGTCTGCTGTATGCCCGCTATTCGTTAGATGTTGTGCTAATGCAGTCGTTGTTTTCTTATTTCTTGCGTCGGTTTTATGTTCGCTTATTCTAATACCGAGAGCGCGCTTCGTTGTGCCTATGTACGTTTTATTGCATGCTTCGCTAGCTTTACCATTGCATTTGATTTCGTAAACCATGTTATGTGTTGGTTTTTGTTTATTTCGTTTTGTTTTTTTTTGCTAGAAATTCTATTGACCGTTCTATGTGGTTTGTGTGGAAATGTTATGTTTTTGTTTTGGATGATTTTTTTTATTGTTTTACTATCCGTTAATCCTTGTATATATGTGACGCCTGTGTTTCGGGTTGAGTTTTGAATTGCGCTGCCTTTGGGTTGTTTTTCGTTGTTGTTATCAACCTCTCAACAGCTTTGTGTGGATACCCGTTCTTATGCAATATGTTTCTAATTTTCCTGCTGTTGTCTTTTCTGAATTCCGGGTGACTTAAGGTGTAGATTTTGTTAATGAGGTTGATGGCTGTATTCTTCCACGGATGATTGGAATGATAATTGATCATTCTGGAGGATGCTACAGATTTCGCATACCAATTCGTTGTTATTACTTGTTAACTTGTTTCCGTCTTCTACTTCAGTGGTGAATTGGATTTTGCTGCTTTACGAATTAAAAACTTTTCAGATTTCTTCCACGTCATTTTTCCTTACGATAGCGAATATGTCATACTTATTTATGTATTTGATATATATGTCCTTAGCAGTGGTGTAGCCAGGATTTGGCTTTGGGGGGGGATGAAAAAAAATTTCCATCGATAACTTAAATCTGTGACACACAATGGCTAGAGGTGTCGCCTGAGTGCATTCTTTCATATATTTATGTATGTGCCAGTTTTACTGTTATATATTTTTTATCTACTCGTTTATTCCATGGGGTCTTCATGCTTTATTTA